CTCCTTCCTCCCTCCCCATCTTCTACCAGGGAAAACCCCACGTGTTCTCCCAGTGCCCAATAGCGGGAACCCACCACCTCGTGCCCCTCCGTCTCTCCCCATCTTCTCCTCGCCTCCCCGTCCCTCACCCCACCCCGGCTTTCTCCAGGTTCTGCCCCACGGTGCCAGGTCCCAGTTCTCACCTGTCCCTGTGAGAACGGGGCTCCGATCACAGCCACCGAGTGAACCGACTTCTTCAGGACGGAATGCACTCGCGTCCGGAGGAGACGCGAGAGGCTGCTTCTCAGGGACATGACCGGCAGCGCGGGACACAGATGACCTAGAAGCTACTTCGTGCGGCTAGCCGTTTTAAGTGAGCGCAGCCGCCAGGCGCCGGGCTTACCTACCCGGGCGCCAGTTGCACCGCCCCGCCCCGTGACGTTACCACCGCCCGGCCACGCCCCCACGCCCCCTACCAGCCCCCCTCACACCTTCCCACCGACCCCGCCCACTGTTCCTCAGGGCCTAGACACGCCTTTGATGACGTCATCCAGCCCTGGCTGGGACTTTCCCTCCAGGGACGAGCCCCTACAGCTGACGCTATGAGGCTTGCGTCGGTGTCTGGCCAATAAGAGCGCGGTCACGGGCAGGTGTGTTCCTTGGCGGGAAGCGACCAGCACCCTCGAAGTTGGCGAACTTGCTAAACACAGGAACCAATTCGAAAGCTCGCAGATCGGGACTCTCTTCACACAAATGCGTGCCGCGCAGATGTCAACTCTAGGGAAGGGCTGCCTGGTCTGGGTCTGGCTGGGCTGGTCTGAACCCACTTGAGTGCTCTGCCAAAACGAAGCTACCATCCATCTCCTCTGTTCCATCTCAACTCTGGGTCCAAAAAACAAACTTACCCATCTTTGGGCGTTGAAGGTTAGGAAATCAAATATAGACTGGAGCTCTCTGGGTCAGGCATGTTAATAACCAACTAAGGGACTATTGGTTAATAACCAATAAGGGACTATTTTAAAGACGAGAATACAACATCAGATCACTTTCCCAAAGTCACATAGCTTGTAAGTGCCAGAGCTGTGTGACTCCAGATTCTAAGTTCTTAACCGTGGCATTAGGGCTTGCCGAAATTTGCACGTTAGTCCTACCAAAATACATTTTTACACAAACAACAGAAAATTATCTCACCTGGTATCAACTTACATGCTGCTTTCCAAAATATTTAAGAAGTCTCCATGGCAACATCATAACTCCAAGGAGCTTTAGTATTATAAGGCAGTTTATTTTTAGAAGATACATTTTATACCTGTCTCCCCCTGCTGGTTTAACAAAGACATGTCTGAAGCTTTAGCAAAATAAGCAGGATATAACCGTAAGGTAATAGTTCTGAAAGTGTGGTCGCTGGGCTGGCAGCATCAACCTTCGCATACATGTCAAGTGGAAATCATTAGGTTCTACCCCTAAATTTACTAACTCAGTAACTCTAGGGGTGGAGCACCAGCAACCTAAATTTTCAGTCTCTCCAGGGTCAGGGGCTGTAGGGAGCAGTAGGGGTGTAGTCAGGGATTCACAGTCACTGATACTGTCACACTTGTTCAGATCCTTGGAATTATCTTGGTACCTTCTTCTTGCCCTTCACCACATCCAGTTTCTTCTCCTTGACTATGTTTTCTGAAATTAATACTGGCACAGTTCACTTCAGGCTCTCCTGGACTCCTGTGAAGGCTATTTCTTAAATACTTACTGTGGGTCACCAGATTGACCTTTCTAAAGTACTACATTAATCCTGCATGTTTTTTCACTGGTTTTCCATTACCTACAGTTTAGTCAGAGGTGAATTACCAGTGCCACATTATTATGCTCCAGGAGAGTGAACAGTAGATTGTCATATTACTATTACCCTTTAAAATTCTAATGATTATTACTTCTATATATCTGAAATATTTTATGACTCATTTTTAAAACCCTGAAAAATAACTGGTCTTTTATTTTGAAAACATGCATTTATTTTCAAAATAAGTTATTAAAGGTAATATCCTAAAGTTATAAAAGTCATAGAAGAATGAGCTAAGTTTTAGAAATTTACTTTATATTTTTTAATGTTTATTTTTGAGAGAGAAAGAGAGAGGCAGAGCATGAGTGGGGAAGGGGCAGAGAGGGAAACACAGAATTCAAAGCAGGCTCCACGCTCTGAACTGTCAGCACAGAGCCCGTCGTGGGGCTCATACTCACAGCCCGCAAGATCATGACCTGCGCTGACACTTAACCACCCAGGCGCCCCTAGAAATTTACTTTAAAACTTGTACTGTTATACCATAGGTCTAGGACCCTTCTTCCTGAGACCCAAAACAAGTTGTGCTGCCTTTCTCCTTCCTTTATTGGAGAACATAGATACTCTGCCTCTTTATTTCAGCGCCTGCCAACACACACTCTATCCTTAATAGGCTGCTAGCAGAGCGTGTGGGGGGAGTGGGGTAGGGGACAGGGTGGTGAGTAGGGAAGACCTGATTATGGTGTTTGCTGAGTTCCATGGTGTGTATACTCCCAAGCTACCATTGTGATGTCACTGATGATGGAGTTGGGAAAAGGTGCTCATCATACAGTATTTCCACCATACAAATATCAACATAAATAACGTCAAGAGCATAAATAATGGCAAGATATAGTAAAATAATTAGGCAATGACAAGTTTTGAATGTATGTTATCTTTGTTCCTAATATAATTTACTTGTAAGTTTATATAATTTGATTTTTTAATAATAACATTTAACAACTTGCTCAGACATTCTTGAAAATTTAGCGATAGGGTATTGCAGGTGGCTAAAAGCAGTCTCCAGCATACCATTGTTTACTGAAAATCCAAGGAAACTCAGAAAAGTCTAAACAAAATTCTCAAAGGCAGGGACCATAACCCTCTCTGCTCATCACTTCATCCCTTCCTGAATACAGTGCTTGGCACATAGCAGGAGTTTGGCAAATAATAAACCTTCCAGATTCTTACGAAATCCTTACTCATGAACCTTGGTCTACGGCTCTGATATGGAATGGAATGGAAGTCCCCAGGGGCATCTGGGTGGCTCAGTCCTTAAGTATCTGACTTTGGCTCAGGTCATGATCTCACAGTTCATGAGTTTGAGTCCCATGTCAGTGAACTTGAGCCCCGCTTCTGGTAAAATATGAGCCTCAGGTGAGCCCTGCTTCTCTCTCTCTCTCTCTCTTCTCCCTTGTGGGATTCTCTCTTTCTCTCTCTCTGCCCCTCACTCACTTGCACGCTCTCTCTCTCTAAAAAAAAAAAAAAAAATTAGGGGTGCCTGGGTGGCTCAGCGTCTGACTCTTGACTTGGGCTCAGGTTATGATCTCATAGTCCATGAGTTTGAGTTTGATGCAGGGCTCTGCGCTGACAGCATAGAGCCTGCTTGGGATTCTCTCTCTCCCTCTCTCTCTCTCTGCCCCTGCCCCACTTGTTCTCTATCTCTCTCAAAATAAATAAAAATAAGCTTTAAAAAAATGGAGTGGAAGTCCCCGAAGATTTCGTTCCAGACTTCTACTTTTACACGCTAAAGAGCTGAGTTGAGCTCACCAACCACACCTTTATTTTTTTTATTTTTTATTTTTTTAATAGAGGCATCCTGATATTTATTGGCTACTTTTTTTTTCAATATATGAAATTTATTGTCAAATTGGTTTCCATACAACACCCAGTGCTCATCCCAAAAGGTGCCCTCCTCAATACCCATCACCCACCCTCCCCTTCCTCCCACCCCCCATCAACCCTCAGTTTGTTCTCAGTTTTTAAGAGTGTCTTATGCTTTGGCTCTCTCCCCCTCTAACCTCTTTTTTTTTTTTCCTTCCCCTCCCCCATGGGTTTCTGTTAAGTTTCCAACCACACCTTTAGACTCTAAAATTTAGAGGCTCTCTTTCATTTAAAAAATTCGTTCATTCATTCATTCATTTAGTGAACACTTTACTGAGCACTTAGTGTGTGCAAAGCATTGTTCTATGCACTGTGCATAGAGATGAAGACAGATAATAGCTCATGACTCCCAGTGCTTACATTCTAGTGGGGAAACCAGTCAAGCAGTTAAATAATCTCACATAGTAGTAAATGCTATGGAGAAAATAAAACAAGGTAATGGGACAGGAGGTCATGTTTTAGCAAGGGGTATCAGGGAAGGCCTCTCCAAACTGACATTTCAGCCAGACACCTAAATGATGAGAAGGAGCTGGTCATAACAAGTTCTCTCTGGTCATAACAACTACTCTCAAGGGAGTAGAGCCTTCTAGGCTTACAGGAACAGAAAGATCCAAAGCCATAAAGTTGAAACATGCTTGTGGGTCAGAAGAAGAGCAAGAATGCCTGTGTAGCCCAAATGTGCAGAGCAAAGGGGGCTGTAGGTGTTGAGTCAGAATGACAGGCAGAGAACAGATCTCAGAGGCAGCCATGAAGAGCATGAACTTCAGAGGAAGAATTTTTTACACAAAAGCAGAGGGTTAAATGTTCTGAATCTGCATTAAGGAGTTGGGAAAATGTGGTTCCTTCTTTCTTGCTTTGCTCTTCTATCTGGGGGCTGGGAGAATTAACATAATAACCCTAAGATACAGTTAAGGCAACAAAGCAGAGGCTACATTCTATGGGGGTAAAATATAGAGTCTGTCTACCACCCAGTGGGGACTCCCAGGTTCATAGAAAGGCTGAATAGAGAGGAATAAAGGAAGGGATGTAACTGTAAGTGCCTGGTTTAATAGCCTGCACACCCCACAGCCCGGTGTGGAGGCAGCCACCCGAGCCCCTTACATACTCCTCGCACACCCCCATCACCGCCACAAGACAGGGGGGTTTTCAGTATGAGCCTTGATCAGTGACAGGGACACAAAAGCAGCCATATGGCCACCATCAAGGTACAAATGAAACTTAGTGTGAAATCTGTCTTGGCACCAGTGGAAGACCAAGGCTACAAAGGACACCTGAACACTTTGTTCTTTCTTCAGGTTCCATTCTTAAGCCTCTACCCGACTATTCTTCTGTTTGGGACATTTTGTAACCAGACTACCCTGAGTTCTCTCCTTGGTGAGTTACAGAGACTGCAGGAGGTGGAGGAAACTTTATTTGTGGCAAATGAGATCCTGGGGAATAACTTTCAAGGCCAGGACCCCTGAGTGGAGGTGAATGGGTTTCTTTTTTTTTTTAATTTTTTTTTCAATGTTTATTTATTTTTGCGACAGAGAGAGACAGAGCATGAACGGGCGAGGGGCAGAGAGAGAGGGAGACACAGAATCGGAAACAGGCTCCAGGCTCTGAGCCATCAGCCCAGAGCCTGACGCGGGGCTTGAACTCCCGGACCGCGAGATCGTGACCTGGCTGAAGT